CTGCCGGGTGGCGGGTGAGCTCTGGTTTCTCCTTGTCACCGTGCACGACCGGCGCGTTGGCCGGGGCGCGCATCGCGTCCGCCCAGGCGGCGAGGACGCCGTCATGGGGCCGCCGGTGGTTGTTTTGCACAGTTCGCGAACCACAGTTTGCGAACCTGCGCGAGTTGCGGATACACCCTGGTCCCCCAGGTGTGAACGTCACGTGTGAACAGTCTCAGTAGCCACTGTGAGTCTCCCGTGACAGCCGTAGTGTCTGTGAGTATCGGGGGAGCGAGTAGATAGCCGAACGGGGGTTTTTCCCCGACCTCCCCGAGGTCGGCCTGCGACCTCCGAGAGGTCTTGCGCCGCTGCACCCGCCGGGTTTTGCGAGCCCGGAAACGCTGAAAAGTAGGCTAGTAAGCGGGTGTTCTGTGTGGCTTGAGTAACGATCAAAGTTCTAAAACCGCCCAGAGGTGCTGTCACTCCGTAGAACGAACTAAGTAAACCTCACCGAGGTCGCCACTCAACCTCCCGGAGGTCATGGCAGAGCGTCGGGCGCCATGCGCCCGCTCGCCAGGGCCCGGCCCGGGGAGTGGCAGTCGCTCTTCCTGCGACCTGCGTCAAAGGCTGCAGAACACGCTGCATATCGCCGGTTCACGGGCCCAAGGCGATGGTTCACGCCTCGGGTCCGGCGGCAGCTCACGCCCTGCACAAGGTAAACTCCCAGTTCCGCAGATTGGTAGCGGCGGCGGGGGAAAGGCTGCAACCAGCCCTTCCCAGCCCAAAACCTTGGCTTCCAGCCTTCCCAAACCCAACCGTTCAGTTGTTGGGTCAAGGGGCGCAGAACCCCCCAAAGTCAACCGTACAGTAGTTCGACCACAAGGGGGAAACTTTTCCCAAGTCGACCCTTCAGAGGTCGCGTCGGAAAAGGGCAAAGTTGAGCTCTCAGCGGTTGCACCAGAGGTTGCAAACGGCAAAGTTGAGCACTCAGCGGTTGCACCAACGGTTGCGAAGATCCCGTCCAAACTTAACCCAATAAAGGACGCAAGTTCGATATCATACTCTGCCGACCCGACGGCCGCTTCGGCAGCAGAGATGGGCGGCCAGACTGGAGAGGGCTGGATGTGCCAGAAGGCAGCGCAGCTCCTCGCTCCAGCGTCGGAGGCAATGCAGCTGGCCAAGGGTCTCATTGTCGGGAAGGTGCACGGCGAGCCTGTCGACACAACCGCCTGGTCGACTCTCTCCGAGCTTTCAAGCGGGTACGGTGCGAGGGGCTTCATGGGGATCAACTTCCTGAGCCAATTCTTCACTGCGTCCAAAGTTGGCCGTGGGCATGGCAACCCCACAAACATGGTGCTGAACGAGGCGTACAAGGACCTCTCGCTCATGCTCATCCCCAATGACGGCCAGGCCGAGGTCTCCTCTTTTGGCACCATGCTCAAGCTGGCCACTTCCACCAAGCAGCCTGACAACTGGATCAGCCGCCAGCCGCCCGACTTCCGCTACGTACTCACTAGCGGCAACCTCCTGGACGGCACCAACCTCGCCCAAGTCATGAAGCAGCCGCCCGCTGACAAGATCCTGCCCCACCAATCGCCAATCGGCCTCGCCCGCATTGCAGTCTGCAAGGACTTCCTGCTGGGCGGCGGACACGAGTGCCCCAAGATTGGGTGTGATGAAGAGATTGACTGCCACCAGTACCTGGTGACCTCCATCCGGCTGCTCAACCTCAACCCTTCGGCAGTTGGGCTCCCATTCAAGCTCAAGACGCCGGACGGCAACTCCATCACCATCAAGAACGAGGCGGAGTACACCGCCATGACCGAGGCCACGGTCATGATGCTCATCACGATGAGTGTGCAGCACAACTTGACGGCGCTGTGCTGCGACGACGAGGCTGCTCGCAAGGAGATCATGCACTCGCCCGCCATCCATGCTGTCCGGAAGTACGCGGGGGGAGTCGGTTCACGGATCACGGTTCACGGACTTGGGGTGGGGGCTAGTCGGTTCACGGTTCGGGGTTCACGGACTCGGGGCGGGGGCTAGTTGGTTCACGGTTCACGGTTCACGATTCCGGCGTGAACTGAGACGGCTGGCCGGCGCTGGTGAGCGTGAGGGATGGGCTAAACTCCCTCTCGCTGCAGTGGCAGGCAGGCGGGCGAGAGGCACCTCTCGGAGAGGCGAGCAGCGCGGCGCGAGCCGGCAAAGCGGCGTGGATCCGTCCTTGTCCCCCACGAGGACAGCGGCGAACGAGGCACGGTAGCTCTCCGATATGAGGCGCGTTGCACTTGCCAGTGCTGCCCTGGCCTTCTGTCTGCCCGCCCAATGGGTGGCAGGTGCCTCTGCTGCTGTGGCATGCCTCACGGCTGCGACTGGCCGGCGCCTCGGCGCGTCAGCTCCACCTCACCATCACCCCTCACCTCACCATAGCAAAAAAAAACATTAGCCGCCAGCGAGGTTCGAACTCGCGACCTTAGCATTACGAGTGCCACGCTCTACCGCTGAGCTACGGCGGCTAAGTTTGCTGGGAGACGGTGAAACGATCGCTCCGCACCCGCCTATATAGAATGTGAATTTTCCGCGAGAAAGTGGCGAATATTATTATTTTATTGTTTAAAGAATATGTTTTTTTTTGTATAAAGGTAGTAAAGTTATATGATGATGAGGTGGGATGGTGATGGTGAGATGAGATGGTAGGTGGGATGGTGATGGTGAGGTGGGATGGTGAAGGTGAGAATATGTTTTTTTTTGTATAAAGGTAGTAAGGTTATATGATGATGAGGTGGGATGGTGATGGTGAGATGAGATGGTAGGTGGGACAGGTGGCGTTTATTTTTGCTTGGGCGGCCCTCATGCTGAAATTCTGCAAAAACCCTGGCCGGCCCCTGCGGTGCCCCTACCTACCTACCTACCTACCTACCCTACTTATGGGAAACTAAAAAAGAAATCACTCGATGGGTGAAGGTGGGGTACTATACCAACTAGAGTGATGGTTGGTGGTACTCTCCTGCATCCACAGTCCTTCTTGTGACATGGGAGGCCACTCTCAAGCCCTACAAGCATCAGATCACCCATTTGGGGAGGGTTGACATCGTGATTTCCGCGGAAAATTTCTTTTTCTGCTGTGAAAATTCCAGCTTGAAGAGAGGGAAAACCCCGACGGGAGGGCCCAGACCTACCCTACCTACCCCGGCATGAGGGCCGGCCAAGCAAAAATAAACGCCACCTGGGTGGGATGGTGATGGTGAGGTGGGATGGTGAAGGTGAGCTGCTCTCGTACATTCGAGCGGCTCCGAGGCGAAGCGCTGACTCCCAGGCCATGCCGCGCAAGGAGCGCGCGCCTCGAGGCGAGCAACTGCGCGTACGTGCCGCGCGGTCTTGGTGGCGCGAATGTACTGTGCATCGGTAGACCTCGTGCATGCGCAGTGCATGCGTGTGCGTTAATCACACAGACTGTGTGTCACAGTCATCGCGACAGCTAGAGTGTGGTGTATTGTGTTCGCAAAGAGTAAGAGAATGATTAAGAATGCACGCGTCCACACGCACACATGCACACACACACGCCGACCCGCACGCACATGCGTACCCGCGCACTCGCGACTGGCGACAATCCAGACTCCGCGCGCGACCGAGAGCGAGGACCGAAGGTCACGCTCAGCCAGCCCTCTCACACACTCACACCAGCACGCCGCCCTCATCCTCGCCCGTCTGGGAAACCCTCGTTTCCTATGTACTCGGTCCCCCAACGGAAGAGGCCTCGCTCCTATTGGAACTGGCCAACATCAGATTTGCCGCGTGCGTCCCTTTTTGAGCCGGAAAGCTATTTTCTTTTGGGTCCTGTGGGCACCCTAGCAGGCCACCCCTCGGTGACCACGCCGGTCCGGACCGATGGCGCTCGGTGTGGAGCAAGCAAGACCCCCCCCCCCCCATCGGCGCGCGCTCGCCATTCCAACGGCCGCCAGGAGCACCAAGAGGACTCCTCATGGCTGTGGTCAAGTGGGCTTCGACCGGCCTCGGCTGGGGGGGCGGGTTGTCCCGGCTGCGGACGCCTTCTGCAGCCCCCTGGGATGGGGACAGCACCCAAAAACTGCCCCTCGAAGTTGACCTCGCCCGCGGCGGTGCCGTACTCGCCCTTCTCGACGAGGTCCTTGATGAAGTCGTCCCACTTGTCTTCCGGGATTGTCTCCTCGAGGCGCAGCCGCGCGTGCAGCGAAGGAGGCCAGGGGCAGCCGACGCTAACGGAGCGGGGCGACGATCGGAATACTCGAATGAAGCCACCCCCCCGACTCGGCGCCGGCGAAGGAGCTGTTGACGGTGTTTAGGATGCCTGGTGTCGGTAAGCTGAGTACGTCAAACACTGCGCTGCCCAATGCGCTGTGGTAGTCAAGTCGAGTAGTCAAGCAGCAGTGGCGTATGAGTAGTGGATGATCCAGAGGCAAGTGCAGCCCGGCTGATTGTTCCTCCGATTCGGACAATCTCATTCAGTCGGTCTGCAGTCGGGAGCTGATAGTCGGGTCGGAAATGACTGTGAAGGCCATGCATACGCGCAGCCCAGGTTGCAACTACGAGAGCCCGTAGCGCTTGATGGCGAGCCAAGCCAGTAGCGTGGAAATCCTGGTTGCGGGCCATGAGCGGATTCTGACTGGTGTCGGCTTGCGACGGAGAAGGATTGACGGTCAGCGTTCAGCCGCGGGGATGAGTCGCGCGGTTGAAGTTCGACCAATCACGGGTCACCACGTTTGATCGGGGGAGCACGAGGGCTCCCACTCGCGCCCGGCGGCGCGCGGAGGAGGCCGAGGGTATAGGCCAAGTACAGAAAGAGAGCAAGCAGCTACGACACGACACCGCAGTTCGGGAGAGCCGAACTAGTACCTAGGTAGGAGACGCGTGACCACAATGGGACGAACGAAACTCATGTGAGACAGAGGGTCACGCGGGACAGGAGTAAAGTGCCAAAGGGGGCACCACGGAGAGTTGCCGAGGTTTTCTTTTTCTGCGAAGTCCTTCCAAACTCGCCCGTGTCGCAACCCGCCACTCCCGTTCCTCGCCCACACATGGAGCCCGGCTCCAGCGTCCTCGCCATCCTCAGCAACCACGACCCGCGCGCCTGGACCGGCTCCGCCTGCGACGGCGGCGCCAACGCGACGTGCAACCTCCGGCTCTTTGAGGCGGCGATAGCGCGAGGCGCGGCGGCGGGCGCCGGCGCCGTGCTCTTCCCCGAGGGCTACGCGCTCAGCCCCGATTTCGGGACCGAGCCGTGGATCTCGCCGGCGGGCGCCACGCCGTGCGCGGCGGCGCGCACAACCCAAGGAGACTCGCCGCTCCAGTCCGGGCTGGCGTGCGCGGCGAGGCGGCAGCGCGTGGCGGTCGTCGCCAACGTGCTCGTCCGGATGGGCGGCGGCGAGAAGCAGATTCGCGAGGTTGTGATTGACGCGGCGGGCGCGGTCGTCTCCTCGTACGGCAAGCGGCACCTCTTCCCCTCGGAGCGGTGGCCGCTCGGCTTCTCTCCCTCGAGCGACGCGCCGACGGTGGCGCCGCTGCTCGGCGGCCGCGTCGGGCTGCTCATCTGCTACGAGGGCGTCTACCCGGAGCTGAGTGGCGACTGGAGTCAGGTGGATGGCCCGCCCACGCGCGCCGGGCCTCGCGGCTCTGGATTCCGGCTCCGGCTCCCGGACGTGGGAGACGCGGGGCGCAACCCACGCCAAACCGCCCCACGCCACCGCGTGCCGGGGCGCGCGGAGAGAAGCTGAAGCTCGCCTCCCCTCGCCTCAGGTGGACGGCCTCCGGCGCGACGGCGCTCAGGCGCTCCTCTGGTCGATCGGGTCGCACTTGCCGGTGGATGCGGGCGCCGCGCGCCTCGCGCGGCGCACGGGGCTGCCCGTGCTCGCGTCGGCCGATGGCGCGGCCGCGCACGCCGTCGCCGCGACCGGCGCGCCGCTGCCACCATCCCGCAGCGTTGCGCTGCGTGGGGCCGTCGCCGGGTACGTGGGCAACGCGTCGCTTCGCCTCTGGCCCCTCCCGGCGGCTCCTCTCCGCAGAGGCGCGCAAGACATGCGGCGTGTCTGGACCCGAGCGCCCGAGCTGACCGCAAGCTGACCCTCGATCCTCGGACTTTCGATACACATTTTGCCGACTCTAGTTGCCGTAGCCATCTCCCAGCCCCAGAGCCCCCACTTTCCTCCTTTCGAGTGACGGTGTTCACACGTTGTATACTAGCGGCCCCCGCTGCGCTGCGTCACTGTGTTGTAATCGTTTGTGCAGCATGCGCGTGTGTGTGTGTGTGGTACACCGCGTGCGTGGCCCGCCCTTGTAGGGCCCGCCCGAGCTCCGCGGGGAACGGCGCGCGCCCCTCCCCGTCCCGGCGGAGCTGGGTGCGGCAGACGGGCCCACGGGTCGGTTCCGGGCCGATTTGCATTTGGGGCCGTTCTGTCTAGTTCTGCGGGGTCAAATCTCAAAATCGAGCTTGACAGTTAAAAATCCAGTAAAAATCTCGCCCCCACGGATGGTACTTTTTTATTTTTTTTGGCCACGATCGTCGCCCGGGCCCGTGAGCGCATAGGGAATCATCTTCAACTTCGCCAAAGAGGTTGGCAGCCCGAGCGCCGTCGACCGCACCGACTATGGCACAGCCTCCGGCAGCGCCCGGGGCTTCGCCCAGCACCACTCGCAGCAGCTCTCGCGCGCCGCCGTCTGTGGCGACGCGCAAAACATCAACAACGCTGCTCGCAACATGCGTGTCGCGCACTCGTTCATGACCGGTCTCAATGCCCCACCCCCCTGCGCGCGGCCGCGGGCCTTCTAGGCCCGCGGGTAGTCTCCCCCCATCCCCAGGGCCTCCAGGGCTCGCACCTCAACCTCTCACAGACCAGCGCACAGCGCCATGGGACGTATTAAGAATTGTGGATAGAATTCTTCTCAATAACAAGGCTGTGATCGGAGGGTAAGAGGGTATACTGTACGCTCGACGGGCACCTTCGGCGTGGCGCTTCGCTCGCCCCGCTCGCGACGCACCAACCAACGGTCCACACCCATATGCCACCCTCGCCGGCGCTGCCGCTCTGGCCGGGCGTCCCTCCGCACGACCGCGCTCCGGCGGACGCCCTCGTCAGCCGCATCGGCGGCGCGGTTCTGGGCGGCCCATCGCCGCCGGCTCTGACTCCGTGGCTCCTGCAGCCGAGCTCGCAGCCTCGCCCCCTGGTCGTGGTCATGCCCGGGGGCGGGTATGTCCGGCTGAGCACGGTCGACGAGGGCGAAACGGTGTGCGAGTGGCTCAACTCAATCGGATACCACGCCGCGGTCTTGGTCTATCGTGTGCTCCGGCTCCACCCGGCGCCGCTGCTGGATGCCCGGCGCGCCATCCAGCTCGTTCGTCAGCATGCACACGAATGGGGTGTCTCGGGCGTCGGCGTGATCGGCTTCAGTGCTGGAGGCCACCTCGCTGGCCACGTCGCTCTCTCCTGGGACGCAGCTCTGGCGCGCCGGCTCGATTCGCAGATGCGTGAGGAGGGCGATCGACCCGCCTCGAAGCTGGCGCGGCCAGACGCGGCGCTGCTGGCGTACCCTGTGGTGTCAGCTCACAACACGAGTGTTGTGCGCGCGGGAGGAGGGAGCTGGCGCTGCAGCAGCTTCGCGTGCATTGGGCCCAAGGCGGCGGGGCGGCGCGCCAAGTTGAGCGGGAGGCCATCCGAGAGGCCCCTTCGCCACCACGGTTCGATCGCCACACTGCTCGGCTGGGGCGCGGACGCGTCGCCACTGGGCAACGAGAGCGATGTCTCCCTCGAGGACATCGCCCGCGCCGCCGCGTCGCCGCCGCCGCCCTTCTTCATCTGGCACACCGAGGATGACTCTGTCGTGCCCAGCGAGAATAGCGAGGTGCTCGTGCGGGCGCTGCGCGCGCGCTCCTTTCCGGTGGAATATCACCTGTTTCAAGGGAAGCATCTCAAGCACGGGCTCGGCATGGCCTCCAACCTTGCGGCGCGCCGCGACGTGGAGACTGGGCGGTGGCCCAAGCTCGCGGAGGGGTGGCTACGGCGGGTGCTCCTTTGAGATTACATAGTCCCTTGATCGAGACCAGTCCAAGCGTCTCTGAAAGAAAACGGACAACCCAAGGGAGGGATGGGAAGAAGCACCAAAGGATCAGGCTCGCGAAGTTCTTTCTTTTTGGCATAGTACTAGCACGCGCCAGTTCGCACCTGTGTCGAGCCTGTGTGCTGTGAGTGATAGTTGGTTCTTTAAATTCTTTTTGGCACATGCGTCGATCCAGCGCGTCTCGCGTGCCGCCGCCGGCCAAGCGCAGTCGACGTGACGACGCCCCAGCCAGTTCCACGGCGGCGGACCTTCATCTCCTTCCCGGTCTGGAGGCGGCTCACGCCGCGGCGCGTCTCGCCTACTGGTCGGATACGTACCGTGCTGAGGTGCCTTCGCCCACCGTGCTCCGGGGCGTGCTCAGCGCCGAGGAGGTCGCAGCCTGCTGCGCGCTCGCCTCCGCCTCTGGCCGTCGCTCAGAGCCTACCACTGCCTGGAGGACTCCGCCGCCTGTGTGCCCAGCGCTGGCCGAGTGCGTGAGCTCCCGCGCTCCGTGGCAGCATCCTTCTGCCCTCGGTGACGGACCGGCCACCCTTGTGTCCCCGCAGCGCTTGCTTTGACGTCGTCTACACCGCCGAACACGTGGCGCTCTTCCTGCACCGTGACGGCCTGTTTGCAGACAGGTGCAAGCACCTCCTTGCCAAGGCGACAGCGTGCCAGAGCTGCTCCCGAGGCCGGCATTACTCCCCACCGACCACGACGCGCCACTCCAGGTGGTGCGCGTGATGCGAGAGGGCGGGCGCGTCGACCCGGCCACAGAGCTGCAGGTGCGCTGCGTCGAGCTGCACTCGTACTCCGAGGGAGGCGCGCGGCCTCACTCTCACGCACGCACCGACGCGGCCGTGCCTGTGAACACGCGGCAAGCCTTTGGAGACCCTCCCCAGGAGCGCTCGACGCGCCGCTGCACCGCGACTCTGGCTCGCTGCTCACCCTGTCGGTGCAGCTCTGCGAGGCGGGCCGCTTCGAGGGAGGCGACTTTGTCACCTTCCGAGAGGGCGAGCCGGAGAGGCACCGCCTCGAGCGAGGCGCCACCGCCGCGGCCGCCCCCACCCATCTGCGCTCTCTGCGCCGGCCGCCTGAGTCGCCCCGCCCCGCCTTGCGAGCCGCAGGCGACGGAGTGCTGCTGAGCTCGATGGAGCTGCACAATGTCACCCGGGTCACCCGCGGGACTCGCGTCTCCCTCGTCGTTGAGCTCTGGTCCGAGCCGGCCAACAGCCACGACCGGTTCGAGTAACTCACTTATTGATTGACGTGCACGCGCTGCTCAAACCGCACTTATGCCGCGGTTGACTGTCACTCTCTCGCCAGCTCGCACTGAGACTGACCCTCAACAGTCCACACACGGTTTTTATATGGGGTTTTGCAAGCGTATTTTCACTCTCTCTCGCCGGTCGCGGGCGGGGCGGGGGGCCCCGGGGGCGGGGCGCGGCCTTACTAAGTTACCCCTTACTTATGTACTATCCTCAACGGTCTTAGTAGATAGAGTAGCGTAGTAACTGGTTGGGTAGGGACGGTAGTAGTATCTAAGTTCTGAGCCTGGAGGCCTAACGGGTCTAAGTGTGGCTAGCCACGCTGGAGTGCTTGCGCGGTCTAAGATATCAGCGGGAGCCTCTTACATCGGCTAAGTCGGCCGTGGACGGCCTGGGGCCAAGAGGCTCCCACCGTGATCAACGTACAACGATACGGCGCAGCCCCCAAATTTTCTTCGCCTGCGGCATGGCCTGCGGCGGGCGATCGATCCTCCTCATGCTCAGCAATCGCCGCTCAGCATCCTCCTCTTCCGATTCTCGTTGCTGCTTCTTGAGCGCAATCTTCGGCGACTTCTAGCCAAACAGTTCTCACAAATAGCCTCAAGCTCAAACAAACGCATGTCAGAGAAGCCTGTGTATGCTGGTCCTCTTTGAACGATCCGCGCGTGAGGTAGCATAGGGCCTTGTACCCTTGTTGGCAGCAGCCAGCTTGTTGCGCTGCTTCGTTGCGATGAGCTGATTGGGATCGCAGAAGTGCATGCCGCGCCCGCCGCTTCGCCGCAGCCGCCTTAAGACACGCATAGCGGCAGCACATGTTACGTTGCGCGTACTTGAGCAGGCGTTGCGCGCCGCAAGTAGCGCACTGGCCCTGGGAGAAGGCGATATGGCGTCGTGCGCGGCATACGTTGGTCGGGACGCGTCCAGGACCAGGTATTTTTCGGGTAAACCTGAAGGCTTTTCAGGTATACCCGAGTTTTACCCGGAGTTTGCCTGATGTCGTCTAAGTTCATGGCCCCTGACCATACAGCGTCTAAGTCCGAGCCCGGCTCCGTGCGGGGGCTAAGTTGAGCGCTCGCTCGCTGCAGAGGCTAAGTGTAGAGCGACCCTCTAGCCCTAATACCCAACCATTGCGTAAGTACATGGCATATGCTACCGCTTAGTGGGCACATGTACAACATGTGCAACATGCACATGCACAACAACAACATGTACATGTGACATGCGCATGCACATGCGGCCGGGCTCGGACATGCGGCCGGGCACGCCGAAAACGCCACGGGGCGACCGGTCCTCGTCGCGAGCGCCCTCTGGCCGCAGTACGCATGCAAAGAGTTCGGCGGAGCCGGCTGGGCGGCGACCGTGTTGCGATGCTCCAAGCACACCGCAATCGTCCGGTTCACGATTGCCACGACGCGTGATGGCCGACCGTACGAGGACGCGCGCGTCCCGCTCAACCAACTGCGGCCGCTGCCTCCGCGACAACTGGCCGCATAAGGCGCGCTGCAGGGGGTGGAACCCATTATAATCACCAACAGGGTGGAACCCAACATTATCACCGCAGGGTGGAACCCATTATAATCACCGCAGGGTGGAACCCATTATAATCACCGCAGGGTGGAACCCAACATAATCACCGCAGGGTGGAACCCATTATAATCACCGCAGGCTGGAACCCAATATAATCACCGCAGGGTGGAACCCAAGATAATCACCAACAGGGTGGAACCCAATATAATCACCACAGGGTGGAACCCAAGATATTCACCGCAGGGTGCAACCCAACATAATCACCAACAGGGTGGAACCCAACATAATCACCACGCTACTACCCGGCTTGCGAGTAGGGAGGAGGAAGCTGCGCTGCGCAAGCACGGGCGGGAGGGGCTTCTCCTGCGGAGTCGTGCGTGCGCAGGGCTCCTCTTTGCTTTCTTCTACTCCCTACTATCATCTCGTTCCCGTCCTACCAGAGAAGGTTACTTCCCCCAGGATTGGTCTTCTCTGCCTGCGGGAACACCCTTGGGCGGCCGGGTGGGGCTGCGGCTGGAGATAGGTAAGCATGGCTCGGTAGAGCCGAGACCCCGTGTTGAGGCGGCGCTCCTGTGGGCGGCTGTGGAATCGGGAGATATTCGGCAGGCATATCTCCCGATCTCATCCCAGTGATGGACGTCCGTACGTCCCTTCTGAGTGATTGTGTTTCGGACGGCCCTTCGTTGTGTTCTCCCCCGTCCGCCAGCGAGACTGGCTCAGTCGCTGGCGGCCGCAGTTCTCTGTGACCCACCCACCTCTCCCTTGTGTTTTGTCTGGGGAGGGGCTTCTCCTGCGGAGTCGTGCGTGCGCAGGGCTCCTCTTTGCTTTCTTCTACTCCCTACTATCATCTCGTTCCCGTCCTACCAGAGAATGTTCAGAGAGATCGTCTGAGGGTGCGCGCGAAATCACACAGAGAAAGAAATACTATTTGAAAACGGATCATTTACGTTTACACGAGTCAAGACAGTGAACACAGGTTCAAGACCGGCTCGCAGCAAACGTCAAGCTTCGCGATCGCGACACCGCCCGGCGCTATTCCCTGAGCCCGCTTTGCCTCACGCTCACCGGCTGGCGGTGCAGACGCCAGAGGAGGAGCGGGCTCGTCCATGTCCATCTCCATGTCCATGTAGCTCGTGGGCGGGGACGCTGGTGGCGGAGGCGGCGCGGCCGATATTGGTGTCGATGCTGGGGCCATTGGTGGGCGGCCGTCCTGCGCACCTTCAGCAGGTGGATCCCTCTCACCCTTGCGATCAGCACCATCGCTCCAACGCTGCCCTCCTTTAGCCGCCCTCCTCCCCCGTCCGGCCTCCTGTCCAGCCTCCCCATCCTCTCCTGCCTCCTACAGGTTGAGATTCCGACTCAGAACATAGTAGGTCGGGCACTGACTATCTGGGCTGTTGGGGCGCAAGCCACGAGCCAAGTCCAAAGGCCACTCTCCCCCGCCGCCGCTAGCGAAGCGCGGCTACGTCCTCACCAGCAAGCGAACAACGTCGTGGCATTCGTTGCGAAGCGCGAGGAAGTGTGCTGTCCCTCGCCGCTCCCGAGCCGTTAGGTGGCTGCCAAAGCGATCGAGCAGCAGCCGCACAACCTCCACGTTCCTACAGTTGATCATCTGTCGGTCGCAAAGAAGTCGCCGCTCCCTGCCGGTAGGGACGGTTGGGCTGCCCGCTCTCGCAGGCGAGGTGCCACGGGCTCATGCCGTAGCGGTCCTCGGAGAGGAGCTGACACGGAGAGTCCTAGATGGCAGGGGTAAGAAGCTTGCGTAAACCTGAGGCGAGGCGGCTAGTCGTGTCGGGGTGGCGCTGCGAGCCTGCAAGAGGGCCACGACTGCTTGCAGATGGCCGCCCGCCTGAGGTTGCAGGTCACACGCGCTCAATTCCCTCGAAAACGTGTATCCTTGCATCCGCCACACTGCCATGCAATCTGGTGCGTGTCTCATCCCACAGCTGTGTGTCGCGCCTTGTCCTCCTCGCTGCTCGTTTCTCCCACCAAGCCTATTGTGCAATCTAGAATGCCCACCGCAGCAAGGTGTAGAGGCGTTTGGCGGTCTGAGTCCACCTGTGCGATCCAATACGCGATGGTGCCCGCGCACCGGTGCTACTGCGCTACCGGGCGTCCTATGCGGCGAGCGACTTGGTGCCCAAGGGATCTGGGTGGCAGGGTGTGGGATGCCAACGGACAATGTCGGTCGACGCTCCATGGGCGAGCAGCAGCTTGATCGACTCAGCCTGGCCCGCGTCACTAGCGAGGTGCAGCAGGGTGTGCTCTTCCTCGACGGTGGCGTTCACGTCTAGAAAGTGCTCATGGAGCCAGCTGCCCAGCACGTCTGTGTCGCCCGCCCTTGACGCCGCAATGGCTCCGTGGACGTCGGGCGGTGGCAATGGAGCCACGGCGGTCCGGCGTGGAGACCAAGGGCTCAGAGAGGCAAAGAACGGGCCTGTGCGAGGAGACGCGCCGCTCCGACACGGATCCGCTCCCGTGCTGTCCGCCTTTGCGCGCTCTGGCATGAGCGGGGGGCTTCAGTTACATGGGAGAGTTCGCGGGTTTCTTTTATTCATTTTCAAATATTTCTGCCGCGAACGGATGGATGGATGCGGCTTGCGGCCTGTCTCTCCACGTGCATCCTACCAATCGTGAAAAATATTATTGTGCTAAAAGCAGTACACGGGTAGAAACAAAAAGAAATCTAAAGCATACATGTAAGAAAATGTCAGCAGTCCTCCTCCGGGAATGTACTACACACATACACTCGGGCCGAGAGGGAAAAGGCCCTTGACTTTGCTCAGGGCGCAGGGCAGGTTGACGGCGTCTGGACTCTGGTACCTCGACTCCAAGAAACTGAAGCTTGCACTCGACAGGTGGGAGCGGAGGAACGACTCCGACGCAAGCTCTCTCCCACAATCTCTCGCACAATCTCTCGATGTCTCGAACCCAGTGAGCGCGGCAGTGATGACTACCCCATCCTCTCCGAAGATTCGTTCACCGGCTTCTCAGACTGCGCTGAGTGGTAGGGCCCCAAGGGCCTAGAAATCGCGCCTGCCTCTCCCTTTTCTCCCAGTAAGCTAAAAGTACGTACACTGAGAGAGAGAGCGAGAGCACTTGGAGCACTTGGAGTGCAGTCATCAGCCTCACATCCAGGACCGGGGAGCTGAGGAGAGATTCCTGTCCCTTTTCAGAGAAAAGCCGCAGACGCGACCTCAAGGATTGACGGCCTTCCCGCTTTGCATGCGACATGGATCCCAAGCCGAGATCGACGAGTTCTTCACCATCGCAGGTGTCGACCCGACTCGCCAGCGACGACTTTGCCATCGGGACGCAGACGCGCGGCATGTGTCGGGCGCTTGCCGCTTTTGTGTCAGCTCTTCGCTTGGCCGTCGTCGCTCTCGGGCTGCACATGTCCTCTTGCCCGGATGCTGGCGAGCGCTGGGAAGCGACGTTGGAAGGTGACACCTCCCGATCATGCATCGACACACCGGGGATGAAACAGGAGTGGTGGAGACTGAAAGGCGTGCACTGCGCGTCGCCGCCCCAGCCGCAATGGCGATGGCAGCTTGCCGCGAAGGGTGGCAAAGGCTGCCGCCTGCGACCGTGTATCCACTAGTACTGTCCACTAGAGTTGTGCACGATGTTTACTGCTTTTAGCATACATGTTTCGCTCCCGCGAAATTCGAAAGGTAGAGCACGCGAGGGGGGGCCTAGGCGCGAACGCTGCGCGCGAGGAGGGGCGGTGGGCCTCGCCCTGCCAGGCCTCCCCCTTGACCGAATCCTTGGGCCCGGCCCATTCTCATAGGCTGCTCCCCACACCAGCAGCCGAGAGTGCGGGCGCGTGGGTCGCCAAACCACAACGAAAGTCTTAGAGTAAGATGTATCGCGCGCCTTCGCTTGGGGGGGGGGGGGGAGGAATCTTCGCGCCATCGCGCATGGTGAGCTATGAACTAAGGTTATTCGGGTCCCTTTAGGGAGGCAAACCCTGCCCGCCCCCTAGAGCCCCAGGTAAGGCCCAGGTGTGTGGCAAGGCCCAGGTGACCAAAATCACCCCGTTTTGCCCATTTTCGGTCATCCGTCAAAATATCTGAAGATCCTACAATAGGATTCTCCCCAAACCTTGCTCAGCTGATCCAGCCTGGGGAGAGGACCAGCCCTGGGCAAAGAAACCAGCACCTCATCGGGCTTCCCTGAGCGTCACAGCTCGGTGATCGCGCCGGCCGGACACCACTGAGACGGCCGTTCTGGGCATTGAACGGGACCTTCGGGGGCAAAGATATGGGCTCTATGGCTCAGACTGGACTCCTCTTGGTCCCTTCTGATGCCCTAGGCCACACCTGGGCCTTACCTGGGGCTCTCTAGGGGGCGGGCAGGGTTTGCCCCCCGAACTGGCCCGAAGAACCTTAAGCGCACCCAGCGGGCCGGATGATCGGGAATCGGGCTACGGGCTAGAGAGCCCTGGCCATGGGGGTGCACGTTCGCAGCGAGGCGGCCGTCAAGTAAACACGGGTCTCCGAGGGCGATAGCGCCGGGTTCCCTCAAGTCCGCTTCGCAAGGTCTTTTCTCTCCTTTCCCTGGGGGCACCCCGCATTCCTCTTTCTTCCCGCACGAAGAAATTCTTCTGCTTCCCTTCGGTGTCGCTCCTCATCGCAAACTCCGTCAAGCAGTTCACCTTCGGGTTGCACTGAAAAAGATAACCCTTGGGAGAAGGAAGTTTGACCCGGGGTAAAAAGAAACAGGTGCGGTGCGACACCTGGCTCCTGGGCAGAGCCGGTGAACCTTCTTTTCTAGAAGGCCAGGATTGAGAGCAGCCTCGCTCTCAATCCTAGATGTCGAAGGATTGTGAGCAGCACTCCTCGCAATCGTAGCATCTCTGTCTGTGCGATTGTGAGCGCCTACGCTCGCAATTTTACATCTTCAGGACTAAGAGCAGCTCCGCTCCCAAGATGACTGGTGACGCTTACGACTACTTCCAGCGCGCTCGCAATCCGAGCAAAGTCTGGGATTACGAGCAGCACTGCTCACAGTCCTAGCAACATGCCTCCGATTGCGAGCAGTAGCGCTCGCAATCCTACATCTTGTAGGACTAATGAGCGGCGGTGCTCACAATCGTACCAAACAAAGGCCCTCGCGCTGACCCCTTACCCCCTGTATGTATGTATGTAGGTAGGAAGGTGAAGAACAGCCAGGCTCGGACTGGACACCAACGCGGTATGGGTGGACGCTGGACAGATGAATGATGACGACACGCACGAGCGACACACAGACACAAACAGGCTCACAAGACACACAGCCAGCTGGCTGCCACACACCCATTCTTCCTGTCGTTGCTACCCTTCCCCCCAAACACCTCGCAAGAGGGCGCATCTTGCAACACATCTCCAACATGCAGTTGCTGCTATCGTCTTTTGCCACGCTGCACCAGCCTCTGCCGCGATTCACTTGCGCTCGGTTGCCGCTAATCCACATGAACGTTGTCGATCGCACGCCACCGTGGTCATTTAACTTCACCGGCGTCGAGCCGACGTACACCGTGACGGACTGGGCCGCTGCTCGTTCGGTGATGGCTGAGTACCTAAACGTCGCCCGTGCGAGCCGCGGTGCCATGTTTAGCGGCTGGACGTGCGCTGGCGACAAGCTCTCCTGTCGCGAGGCCTTTGGCGACGCCAGCTTCGCGGCTGAGCACCTTGTCGCTGCCCGTGAGACCCTTGCGAAGCTGCAGGCCGTGGCGACGCTTGAGGAGGTGCGGGTGTACACACCCGCAGCCGACGCTGCGCTGATGGAGGCGGCAAGAGAAGCCTTTTCTGCCGACGTGCAGCTGCTGGAGTTGGACGGCGGCGCGACTGCGCTCGTCCGGCCGTGGGGAGGCATGTCACGAGGATCGGAGTTTTGTTCGCTGACGGTCGACTTTGCGGTGTCGGACTGGGCCGCGGCCGCGCCGCTGATGCAGCGCTGCGTCGAGCTCGCTGTGGTGGAGGGGAAGGGGTGCATCTACTTTGGGTTCAGCCGCAACGCGGGCTGCCAGCTGGTGTGTCGGTCGGCCTACGCCACCGCAGACGCGCTCGAGGCCCACCTCCGCGGCGCGTCCCCTCTCGCCGCCGCCGTCGGGACGCTCTCCGAGGATGGCGAGATTGCGACGCTCGACGCGGCGCGGTTGGATGCGCCGGCGGCCACCCTCGAGGCGATGCGCGCGGACACACTCGAGTACCATGGGTGCAAGGTGCAGCCCTTCTCCATCGACCCGAGAGAGGGCGGCTTTCAGCGATTCGAGCTGACAGGCTACAACATGGGGCTGCTGGACCTCAATAAGTGAGCCCTGACTTCCATGAACCCGAACGCGGCCCAACTTGTCTGCGGACCATACTGCCGCCCGCACATGCAACATGTCTCTGCAGGAAGGAACGAAAAGAAGCCATCGCGATACGTCCCTGGGTGTTCGTTCTCTTCGTAGAGCTCTATCCCAGTTTAATACGTCGTATGTTACCCACGGCCTCACGTGTGACACATTTCTAATTTGAATGATTTCCATGCTAGACTCACCGAATATTAGATCTCGCTTCTCGCAACGTTGCGCTACTGGCTACACGTGCACATCTCTCGGCGGGGGGGGCCGCGGCGCCGGCGGCGCGGGGCCGGCCCCTCATCGTCGTCATCCCTCATCGGCTCAATCGCGCAATGTAATTTATGTATATAAGTTGTATTCTCACGTTGTGTCACGGTAATCGCACCGAAGGCCGAGACGAGACGCGAGATCGAGCTCAAAACACGGTGTGGCAAGCACGGCAGGGTGATGGCGCTGCAAGTGTCGCTCTCCACCTCGACGTCTCAACAGACGACACATAGATTCAGGACCACGTCGTGGCACTTTGGTGTCGGCGCGCTGGCCCAGATGCTCGCCCACCTCGCCGCTGGCCCAGAGGCCTCCCCCTCCTCCCCGGCCGCCTCCTCCAGCGGGCCGGCGGCGAGGGGCGGCACCGAGCTCGCGCTGACGACGGCGGAGGAGCGGCGGTCCGAGTCGGAGCCGACCGAGCTGAAAGTGGACGCCTGCGCCTTGACGCGCACGATGCCGCGCCGCAGCTCGAAGAGGGCCCGCTCGTCGGCGTGCGGCATCGGGGTCGCGCCGCTCGCGGTGAGGAAGGGGTGGGAGCGGAGGGACGACGGCGTGAGGCGGGCGGCGGGCTGCTGCTGGAGCAGCGATCGCAGCAAGTCCATCGCGTCGGGGGGCGCACCGGGCGGCGGGGGCGGGAAAGCAACCTCCTCGGACCCGATCCGCTGCAGCACGAGCAGCGGCGTCGGGGCGTCGAAGGGCGGCGCGTGGTGCAGCCAGAGGAAGAGGCAGACGCCGTACGCCCACCAGTCGGCCGCGTAGGAGGAGTAGCCGCCCGCCGACCGCTCGCCTAGAGCGCGGGTACCGCCCCGCTCAACCGCCCCCGCCCCCGCCCCCCTCTCGCGCGGCGGCGCGGCTCTGCACCGACGTGGCACATCTCCGGCGCGAAGAAGGCAATCGTGCCTACAGGCTCGTCCGCAACGATCTCCCACTCCGGACGTGGCACACACACGCAGCGCAGTCGAGGGCTGTCGAGCCGGCGGTCGCGCGCACGTAGTCCGCGCCGAGGGTGCCTCCCACCGGAGCGTCGCGCGAGTGCGATAGGAGCGCCGCCGTCCCAAAGTCGGTCAGCTTTGCGCGCCTCTGCTCCGGGTCCCAGAGGATGTTGTCTGCGCACGCGTCGGGAGGCGGTCGTGGACGTGTCGTGGACGTGTCGTGGGCGCGGTGGATGGGCGTGCTGGCGGCACGAGCGGGTCACAGAGGTGTCTGCCGATCGAGCTTAGGGAGGTTGCGACGGGGCGGGTGGAGAGGGTGCGCGGACTCTCTGTCTGCGTCTGCCTGGCTTGACGTCCCTGTGCGCGACTCCGTGGATGTGCAGGTGCTCCAGGCCGAGGTAGACCTGAAGCAGGGGGCAGGGGGTGGATGGGCCGCGGCGGAGGCGCTGCCACCCCTTCCCTCGGCGCCGCGCGCCTCCCTCAGCCAGTGGCGGAGGTCCTCCTCCGGGATAGACTCGCGCCGCGCCACGGGCCGCTGCAGCGTCCAGCCGCGCACGCACTCCATGACGAGGAACTGCTGGTCGCACCGCGGATCGTCGATGAGCTCGTACAGCCGCACGATGTTGGGGTGCTGCAGCCGCGACATCACCTCAAACTCTCGCTCTATCGAGTTGTTTTCGGTGCCGCTCGCGTTGCCGCGGCTGGTGCGGCTGCTTCCGACCGAGATTGGCCGGGAGAGCGACGGACGGGACGGTTCGTCGGCCGGCACAGAGGACGGGCGGGTCAGAGTCGGCCGTCTGAGCGATCTTCGCTCTGGGGCGGGCCTGCGGAGGATCTTGATGGCGTAGTCCTGGCCGGAGCTGGACGCTCTGTGCACGGTGCCGTACGAGCCGACGCCCAGGATCTGGTGCACGCTGTACTGGTTGACGCGCTCCACCACGTCGTGGTCGTTGAGCGCGGTCTCAGCCGTGCGCGTGAGCGGCGTGGCGGACATGACCACGAACAAGTGGGAGAATGGGGCGCCTGCTTGCCCTTTCGAAAAAAGATTTTCCGTCCGGGTTGTCTGTTTTCTTTCTTTTCTGGCCTGGGAGGGATAGAGTGTCGGGCTCCAGCAAAGGGCCAGTCGAGTCGCTACCACGTGCAAGCCCCACCCGGCTGGCAAGTGGGCTTGGGGGCGTGCGGTGCCGCCCTGCTTGCTCTAGGTGAAACGTCTAAAGGACGAAGAAACACGAGGGTGCGACCAACTCCGCACGACCCACGGGCGGAGAAGACAGACGGGCACTAGACCAGGGAGGACTGGGAGAGTGTGAATGGAGGGACACGTGTGGTTCAGACGTCCCTTGTCAGGCGAGCAGGAGAGCCCCACCTACCTGTGGCTGTGTGCAGTGTGGCCCCTGATCGTCCTTCGACCTCCAAAAAACGATGCAAAATCCTGCTCGTGCAGGTGGGGACCCTGTCCTCCTCCCCTATCCCTCGTTTGGGCTGTGTATGTTTTCTTTCTTTCGCACAACAACACCACCGGGCACGGCCGCGCGCGCACTGGAGCACTAACACAGGTAAAAAGTTCACGGTTTTCTCGTCTACCTCCTCCCGCCTCCCCCTATCTCTCCCAATCGCGCGACCTGCACTCTGTTGGTGTTGCACGCGACTGCCTGTTACATGCACATGTCACAATAATGGTCAATGCCCACACCCACACCTCAGCAGCTCCGAACCAATGCTGTGCAGGCTCAACAACAGCCGCCACCCTGGCGTCCGATGCTGCTCGTCCCAGCGTGGCTCATGTCGATCGTGTCTGGCAGGTAGAGATCCGCCTCCCTCGCCTGGGACGGGACGGGTGTGCGGGTGTGTGCGAGTGCGAGGGGGCGTGCGGGTGTGTGGCAAGGTCTGCGGCTCGGAGGCGGGCCGGCGCCTCTTGTAGCAGCGAGTTTCGCGCGATGAGCTCGAAGGCCTGCTCGATGTTGATGGCCGTCTTTGCGGAGGTCTCGAACAGCGGCACGTTGCCCTTTCCCTCGCACCTGCGCGCGGCGGGCGGCTCTGGGCTCGCTTCGCGCCGAGGCCGGCTGCTGCGTGGGTGTGGGCCGAGGCGCAGCCGCTCACCAGGCGAGAGCCCGCTTCTGCGTCGCGGCGCCCGAGCCCTCCACGTCCACCTTGTTGCCCAGCACGACGAAGGGGAACGCCTCCGCATCGCTCGGCCCAGCCTGGCGGAGGAACTCGTCCCTCCAGGAGTCGAGGCTCTGCAGGGTCCTCTCGTCGTTGCTGTCATAGACTAGCACGCAGCAATCGGCGCCGCGGTAGAAGGCGACGCCGAGCGACTGGAAGCGCTCCTGGCCCGCCGTGTCCCAGATTTGCATCGTGACGGGCCGCCCATCCACTTCCAGCTCCTTGGTGAGGAAGTCGGCTCCGATTGTCGCCTTGTACTGCGACTGGAACTTGCGGTTGACGAACTGATTCATGAGAGAGGTCTTACCGACCCCCGAATCGCCCAAGATGACAACCTTGAGCAGCTTGCGGCCCATTTTCACCGGCGCCTACGCTGTCTGCTATTGCCGCGGCCGCTTCACGCCTCGGGAGGGAGCAGCGTGAGCTCCGCAACTCGCACGGGTCTCAAGGGGCGCCCGGCCGGGGCCACCTTGCTTCTTGTTTTAGAAAAAGAATTTTGACGAGCTGGCACGTGCGCGCACTGGCACTAACACAGGTACACCACGGGAGCCGCCTAAGCGACTCCTGCGAGGACGGCGAGGCACTTAGCTCCGTGCACTGGTGCACTCGACCGCAATAAATCACGACTCTCACAGTGATTTGGGCTCGGCAGCTTGTCAGCCCTCAGCCGAAGCTGGGGCCGGTCCCGTAGCCGAGAGAGCCCGCGCCGTTGATGAGTTCGACGCGGTCGGCGGGCACAACACAGGGGCAGAGACGTTTCACGTCACAAGGACGCACGACGCGTTTAACGCCAGTCTGTGCCAGTTCCGCCGGCATGCAGCGCGCGCGAAGAAGGTTGCTCCTCGACCTCGACGAGGATGCGGGCATTCCGGGCGAGGCGGGCGGCGCCACGCAAGCGACAGCCACGAACACGTCAGACAACGACAGGGAGCCCGATGGTGCGGAAGAGTACGAGGATGACTTTGAAGAGGTGGAATCTGACGATGACTCAACCTCAGCCGCACCTACGCCACCACCGGCGGTTGCTGCCGCGCCTTGCCAAAGTACAGAAGCTCTTCTGGCCGAGCCGGGAGCAGCCGCACCAAACGACCCGCCCAAGGGCCGCGGCCGCTCCCGTCTGCAGGGCGGAGGGGGGAGCTCTGCGTGGACGGCCATCTCCGTCAGCGAGCTGGACCTCCTACCGCGGCCCATTGCCAACGGTGCGATGGGAGCAATCCACGCTGGGGTCTGGCGCGGGAGGAAAATTGCTGCCAAGCAACTCCACGACTGCACCGGGGATGCCGCCATCGCCCTGCGAGAGGAGGTGGAGGTGCATGCGGCGCTCTCTCACATCAACATCGTCGAGTTGCTTGGCGCGAGCCTCGCCCCACCCCACTGCTGCGTCGTCATGGAGCTGTGCACCCGCTCGCTCTTTGAGCGCGTGCACGGCTGCAGGGAGGGCCTCGGCCGCCGACTCAGCCTGAGGTTGGCGGCGCAGGTTGCCTCGGGCCTGGCGTACCTGCACTCGCGCGCCCCACCGGTGGTGCACCGCGACATCAAGTCGCACAATGTCCTGCTCTGCGGCGACACGACCGCAAAGATATGCGACTTTGGCCTGGTGCGAAGCAAGGAGCCCACGGCGGGCACTCCCAACTATATGCCGCCTGAGACTTTCCTCGCCCAGCCCGGCTGCGGCGGGGTGGACGTCTTTGCGCTTGGCATCCTGCTCAACGAGCTGTTTTCGAGCGAGGTGCCGTGGGATGGGTACGAACCCATGAACATCAAGGCCAAGGTGTTGCGCGGCGAACGGCCTCCCGAGAGCAAAACGATGCCGGTGGCAGCACAGACTCTGGTGCGCACTCTCTGGCATCAGAACGTATCGCAGCGTCCGCGTGCTCAGGCGGCTGCGACCGCGCTTGCAGCCATCGAGTCAGCCCTCCCACAGGCGGGGTAGGTTGGCGTTTCGACCCACGCCGGCCGGCGGCAGCCACTGAATTAGCATCGACTAATCAAGCGTTTTATATACTCATCGCTCGTGTATGACGACAAAACGGCAACGCAAAAGCCGGTTGGAGATAGCCGGTTGGAGATAGCCGTAATACGATGCTGAGTCCTTAGATCTAATTGTGCAACGCGCCGCCAAGGTCAAATCCAAACACACTACAACCTCCCACCAATTCTCTCGCGGTGCCCGCCGGGTGCGGGTTGCGTGCGCCTCAAGCTCTATGCCTGAAGTGCCGTCACCCTGGACTTGACATTTTTGAACTTGTTCATCTTCCAAGTCGACTCCGCTGGAAGCGACGGGGGAAAGCTGTAATCCTGCAAGGCGTGGTGCTCAGCGGCGGCCCTTAACAGCCTCGTCGACTTAGTGGGCGACGGCTTGCCGAGCTTGCGCCCGCCGCCCAGGTTCTCGGCGAGCTCCGTCTGGAGGACCCAGTCGTAGCGGTAGCCGTGTGCCATCAGGTCGGTGAACGACTCGGCCTCTCCCGATTGCGTGCCTGCATGCGGGCGAAGGCCGCAGTGGACGCGGGCTAACAGCGAGCGGAGAGGAGTGGCGAGGGCGCACCGGCCGTGACGCTAGCATCCGGAGCGAACGGCGCCCTACGGATCGAGCCGCTCCGGACAGGCATGCGTATGTCGTGCACTGTCGAGTGCTCGCGAACACCCTTCGCTGTGGTGTGCCCCGCCCTGAGTGCCGCCTGAAAATCGGGGGAAGTGGTTGCCGGCTGAGTTCCCTGGCGGCGTTAAGCGCGGCAAGTTCACGCAGCACACCCTGTTCATCGCCTTGAAGTCCTTTGGCGGCCGGGCATTCTTCGTCCCCGTAAACTCTGCCCAGTTGTCGATTACCGTGTGGGCCGTCAGGCCGTCCGGCTTGTTTGCCATTCCAAAGGTGAACGAGAAATCCTGCGGCAGGTCGTACGATGTCGTCCGGACGCACCCGAGGTTCGACTTCTGCAGCAGAGAGTTCTTGGTGTCGACACGGTGGCTCCCGCACAGGGGAGTCATGGTCGCATCCCGACGGTTGTGCGAGTAGCCCTCTGGCTGCATGTCGGCCTCCATGGGGCCGCGAGCGAAAACGAAACGATGCGGTTTCGAAGAACTTGACGGTTTCAGCCTGCGCTAGTGTATATGGCGCTCGACGACAGCTACTTGCACCGCCGACAGGAGAACGCCCGCATTGTGGAGACAGCGCAGAGAGACATCGCGTCAAAGCTCCTTGCGGTGCATGTGACGAAGCGAGCGCCAGTGCCGTTTGAGCCATACGAAGAGGCTCCGCCCGTCACGAGTCCAGTCCCGAGGGACGGTCACCTGGAGCGGACCGCAGACCTAGCCGGATTGCGATGCCACGCGATCAACCTCGGCAACGCCTAGCCTCCTCGAAGGGCTTGGCCAGTCCTTTTGTGCTCACGCGATTGGTCTGAGCCGCTTTGGTGCGCAGGCGCTCCTCCGCCTCACCGTTCCCGTCTCGGCCGTGTTTGACGATGTCATCGCTTCTCTCAGCGGGACGTTTGGTGAGAGGCAGCAGCGACTGGCTGCGCGCGCAGCTGGCCTCAGTTCGGCGAGATTGCTCCGCGCCAAAAGCACCTCAGTGTCGCTCTTCGGCCAGCTCTCTCGCGCGCGGGGCGGCGGCGACGCCTTCCCCTCCACGATCGACACTCGCCGCGAGCATTTTGGGGCCGTCGCTAACCAACGCGACCAAAGGATATCAGCCCCGGTTGCCGTTGAAGATAGACCAGTAAATTAAGGCGCGCGGGGCGGGGGGGGGGGGGGGGCTTGACGCGAGGACGCCGGCCAATATCTCTGCGGAACTGGGAGTTTACCTTGTGCAGGGCGTGAACTGCCGCCGGACCCGACTACTGAGACTGTTCACACGTGACGTTCACACCTGGGGGACCAGGGTGTATCCGCAACTTGCGCAGTATCTTACTCGCAGGGGACCTGGATCCACGTGTGCTGATTACCAAACAAACAAGCAAACAAACACGGGCGGAACAGGTCCCTGTTCCTTTTTACCCATCTCACAGTAGAGGTCTCCGTTTTTATTTATTTATTTGGGGAACCTCCCTCTCCGTCAGAGTTCGCTCCCACTGTGCACTGAGGTCTCCGCTTTTTATTTCGCAGAGGCCCCAGGGTTCCGGCTCCTAGCCGGATAGGGGGTCTGTTGCCACTGGCTGGCCCCTCCCAGATAGGTAGGTAGGTTGGTCTTGTTTCGCCCAAAAGGGCCCTGCAACACGTAGGCACACTGTTTTCATCTTTTTTCGCTTCGCTGCGCGGCCTGGGGATAGGTAGGTAGGTAGGGAATTTTGGCGCGAGTCAGTGTGAACAGACCCCTGTGAACGCGCGCACGAGTGCTGATTACCAGCAGCCGGTGGTGGAGGCTCGCTCGCTGTCATGACCGACACTGCTGACGTCTCGCGAGGCTGCCGCGGCTACGAGGAGAATCACGTGCAGAACTGGTGCGGCAACATCTCCTTCGGCAGCAAGCAGAAGTTCGTGCCGTCCACTGTGGAGGAGTTGCAGCAGGTCGTGCGGGACGCAGCACCGCCGCTGCGCGTGATCGGGCGCGGCCACTCCTTCTCGCCCGTCGCCGAGTGTGCAGGAGGTACGCTCGTGAGCCTCGCTCGCCTCAACCTTGTCCTCGACTTCCAGCCGCCGTCCGATGGAAGCGTCGGCTCCATCACAGTCCAAGGCGGGACAACCTACTCAGAGATTGCCAAGTACCTAGCCGTCGGGCGGCGCGGCGCGCTTCGAAATTTGCCCTCGTGTCCGCAGTTCACCGTCGCCGGCGCCATTGCAACCGGCACGCACGGCTCGGGCGTCCACATCCCGAACCTAGCCGCCGACGTCTCGATGCTCGAGTTTGTGCGCGCCGACGGCACCCTCGTTCGCTACTCGCGCGAGACTGACGCCGCCACGCTCGAGGGCTGCCGCGTCCACTTGGGCTGCCTCGGCGTCGTCAGCGAGCTCCGCCTCGACGTCGTCCCCTTCTTCGAGGTCGACGCGCGCACGTATGCGGATGTGCCACTCGAGGCGGCGGTGCGGGCGCTGCCCGAGCTGTGGACGCGGTGCGACTCGCTCTCGGTGTGGACGTCTGGCTTCGGGCGCGGCGGCGCGGAAGTCGGGGACAGCGACCTCTTGAAGCTTGCAGATCCCTTCCCTCGACTCGAGCCTTTAGGCGCGGTCCCGGGAGCGGCAGCTGCTGGATCACGCTGCGCCACTTCTTGCCTCACTGGGCGCCGCCCGAGCTGCGCGCTCCTCCGGCGAGCCCCCGCTCGAGGCGGCCGTCGAAGGTGGACCATCGGTCCTCCGCTACGGCGACTGGTCGCCGAGTAGGCGGCCCCGCTCGAGGCAGCGCTGCTGGGCGAGAGCGGCTACTTGCTCGAGCGGCCGATGGGGCGCTACTGCAGCGACGTCGACGCTCCGACGACGTGCGCCTTGCCCTTCGGCGCGGCCCGGGTCCGGCAGCGGCGTCTCTTCTCACGCGCTCCGGTTGTGAGCAGCTACTCTCCGACGCGCCGGGAGCCGTGGCACTCTGCGCTCTCCCTCACGCTCGACGACCAGGCGGAGGAGACGTCGATGGCGGTGGTGGACCTGCAGGCGGAGTTCTTCGTCCCGCTCGAGCGTGCGACCGAGGCGCTGCGCGCTGTCTGGGCCGCGTCCGCCGGGTGGGAGTTCGGGTCGCCGGCGTGAGCCTCTGGACCGCGTCTGTTCACGGGTCTGACTGGGAGCAGGTGGGCGTTTGGGTCGCCGCCGACGAGCGCGGAGCGCGTCAAGGGCCTCGTGGACGCGATCGAGTTGCGGCAGGCTAGCGAGACCTCTTGGTATCCCTCACCCCTCCTAGATATCCCTGAGCCCAGTCGGCGCGGTTATCGACGGTTTGCCGTCGCCGCGCGGCGGTCTGAGATCCGCCCTCTGATTGGTTTGGCCGTCGGTGCCGCAGGTCAAGGGCGACAAGGCGTGGCTCTCGCCCGCGCCGGTCGACTCGCTCGGCATCCACGTGTCCTTCAACGCGGACCTCGCCGTGCGCGACGAGGTGATGGCGGCGGTGCCGGCGCTCGAGGCGGCGCTCGCGCCTTTTGGCGCGCGGTTTCATTGGGGGAAGCTCAGTTGCCTACGGGCCGCGCGGGTGGCGGAGCTGTATGGTGAGGGCCTCGAGCAATTCCGGTCTCTGTGCGATGACCACGACCGCGAGGGCAAGTTTAGGAACGACCACGTGAGTGAGCTTCTCTGGCGGCGAGCGGCTCCTGAGTGCTGAGAGAGTATGTTGGGGGGGGGGGGCTCGCAGGTGTCACAAGGGAGGGATTTATATCGTAGAATCCGATTGGGGAAATAATAAAAAATAATTTCTTAAAGAAAGAAGAAAACAGAGGGTCAAGGCAAAAGAGGTAAATAAAGAAAGAAGAAAACAGACAACCCAAGGGAGGGATGGGAGGACGGGGCAATGGCATCCCAATGGACGGCACGCCGCCACCAGACAGGGATTTCAAGGAGAGGAGTGTGGTGCTAGCCGTCGCCCACCCTAACGCTTGGGCGTCTAAAATAATTGCTAAAACAATTTCTTTTCGTCTTCGCGGCCTTGTGACATTCTTTTTGACGCCACCTTGTGTGGCCGGGCAATGTCAGCGGCTGAGTTAAACTAGAGGTCGAGACGCGGCCATGGTAGTGCAGGGCTTGCTCAACGACATACTCGGCGAGCTCGTGCGGCTGCCGCGGCAGGGCCTCAAGCTGGACCTGCTGAATGGCCATGTGCTCCTGCGCAACCTCGAAGTGCAGGCGCGAGGCAGCGCCCACTGCACAGCGTCACACACCCGGCCGCTGAGCCCTCGTCCCTCGCCTCGCAGCCCGCCGCGCTGCAGCTGCTGCTCGGTCTGCCTCTCGTCGTGCTGGCGGGCGTAGTCGGGAGGGCCGAGCTCCACATTCCGTGGGCCAAGCTCGGGTCCGAGCCGGCGCGGGTGCAGCTCGACCGCGTCCTGCTGATCGTCGCGCCGCAGTGCGAGGAGGCGCTGCTGCCGTGCGAGCACGAGCGCAGCTTCCGCGCGAAGCAGCGGCGCCTCGACGCCCACGAGGCCCGCAGGGCGCTGTCGTGTGACGCTGCCGCCGCGCCAAAGCCGCAGAGAGGCTTCTTCTCAAAGCTGGCTGCCAAGCTGCAGGAGAACCTGCAGCTCGACCTGACCAACGTGGTCATCCGCTACGCCGACTCGAGCTTCGGCCGCTCGCCCTTCTCCGTCTCGCTCGCGCTCGACTCCCTCAAGCTGCGCAAGCTCGAGGTTGCCGGAGCGGCGGAAGAGGGAGCGGCGGGCGGGGCCAGGGCGGCGGGCGGGCTGGCCAAGGTGGTCCACCTGACCGGGCTCTCCGTCTGCTGCGCCGAGGCCGTGCCTCCGCCTCCGCCGCACTGCGCCGCCGCCGCGTGTGGCGCAGGCCCGCCCTCGCGCCGCTCCCTCGGCGAGCAGTCGGACGCCTCCTCCTCCGGGTCGGGCCGCGCGTCTGGCGCCTCGTCGGCCTCGAGGGCCTCCGGCCGAAAGTCGGGCTCGCGGCCCGCGGGTGGCGGGACCGGCGGCGGACCCTCCGCCGGCGCCGGCTCGAGTAGGGCGGAGGCGTCCGACCGGCTGCAGTGGCTCAAGACCCACGTGGAGGGCTGGCACCGGCAGGCGACGCGCGCGCGCCTCCCCTCGCTGCTCGCGCGCGGCCTGAGAGTTGAGGTCTTTGGTGGCCGAATCAGGCGAAGCGCGGGGCTCCCCTGGTGCTCGAGCCGCTCTCCGCTTCACTCGAGCTGCACGCCTCTGCCGACTTGCCCGGCGGGGAGGCGGCGGCGCGCGCGGACGGCGAGCAGCCGCTCGAGCTCTCCTCCACCTCTCCTCCACCTCTCCTCCACCTCTCCTCCACCCCTCGAGCCCGGCGCGTGAGCAGCGCCTCTCCACAGCTGCAGCCTGCGAACAGGCGAGCCGCTCGACCTCTCGCGGCTAACCAGCTTCGAGGCGTCGCTCGGCACCACCAGCGTCGGCCTCCGCCTCTCCGCCGTCTCGCTCGGCGCCCTCTCCGCCGCCGCAGGCTACTTGCGCGCCCCGGGCCGGTTTGAGATCTGGAGGCAGCACCGGCCTCCTCCGTGGGAGACGCCTCTCTCGAACCCGCGCCTGTGGTGGAGGAGGGCGTGCGCCGCCGTCAGCGCCGAGGTTGCGCGCACGCGGCCGCGCTGCTCGTGGGACACGATCTGCCGGCGGCGCGACGAGCGGCGCCAGTACGTCTCGCTCTACTTGCGGCAGAGGCGCGCGAGGAGGAGCAGCCGGCGCTTGTCTGACAGCGACCGCGCGGCGCTGGAGCGGTTCGAGGGGGGGGCTGGACCGGGGTCGGCATGTCGAGGGGCCCTCTTCGAGGCGCGCGACACTCCCCTCTGTAGGCTCGAGCGGACGCTGCCCTTCGAGGCGGTGCTCTACTTCCGCCAGTGGGCCGAGTCGCACGCGCGAGTCGAGGAGGAGCGCGCCGCAGCGTCGTACGTCCAGTCGGGGAAGCGGTCGGCGGTGCAGGCGGCGGGGAGCGTGTGGCGGCGCTTGTTCGGCGGCAGGGAGGGCAGCGCCGACGTGCCCGACGCGCTGGAGGGGGCGACGCTCTCCGCGGCACAGCGCGAGGTGCTGAGCTCGATCCTCCGCGACTCGGAGGAGGGTGCGGCGCCGGCGGCGACGGAGCTGCGCGCGAGCGTGCGCGTCTCGGTCCCCGAGGTCTGCCTGCTCTTCTCGGAGAGCGAGGAGGAGCTCGAGGAGGCGGCGCGCCGCCGCTCGAGCTTCGGATCGCCAGCTTCGCCGGCCTCCGCCGCCGCGGCGCTGCACCCCGCGCCGGGCGGCAGAGCCGCGCGGACAAGTCTCCCCTCGCCTCCCCTCGACTCGCCGCGCTCGCCCGCCGGCCCACCCGCGCCGCCCCTCCGGCTGTGCGCCACGCTGCAAAGTGTGGTCGCGACCGGCGCCTTTGAGGGCGAAGGCTTCCACCAAATGATCGTCGGTGCGTCGCCCGCCCCGCCCCGCTGCACGCCCCGCCCCGCTGCACGAGCGCACTTGCGAATGACCGACGGACGAGTGAGCAGGCGGCCTCCTCTCGTCGGCCCTCACGGTGGACAACGCGCAGGCCGTCGACCTCGCCCCCTCCTCGCCCTTCCCCTCGCTGGTGCAGCTGCACCGCCACCTCCGCCTCGCCGAGAGCGGCGTCCTCGAGACGCAGCACGCCCTGACCCCGTCCGTGCTCGGCCGCCACTCCTCGGCGCCGGAGGACGCCTCCAGCCGCCTCTCGCTCCCCTTCTCGGACGGCGACTCCTCGAGCCCCGCCCGCGGGTCGGCAAAGGAGGCGGACGGGCGGCCACGGCGCGGCCACCACCGGCGCGCGAGCACGACGCTCGGCCAGACGCTGCACGCGCGCCGCGCTCCGGCGCTGAGTCTGCAGCTGGCGCCGGGGAGGCCTTCCGGCGAGGGGCCCTCGAGCGGGTGGGAGGTGACGCTGACCCCCCCTCTTCCCCCCTGGAACACACACACTGCTCACCCACGCGCCCCGGCCCTCTCAATGCCGTGGAGCTCGTCGTGGAGATGCGAGCGGTAGCCCTTGGGCAAGTTCAAGTGGAGAGGCTCACCTCCCCCTCGCGTTAGGTGACGCTCGGCCTCGCGCCGCTGCACGCGACGCTGACGTGCGGCATCGTCGACGGGCTCTGCCGGCTCGGCTCGCAGCTGCCGCCGGCGCGGCCGGGCGTGGCGCAGTTGATCGACCATGCGCTACAGCCGCCGTGGTGGGAGGCTTGCGGCCGCAGCAGCTGGAGGAGCGCGCTGCACGGCTACCTCGAGCAGGCGGAGGCGACCGCGCCCCTCGAGGCAGACGGCGGGACGACGGCGACGCGGTTTCAAGTGACGGTCCCCTTCCTCGGCCTCTCTCTGCCGGTGGACGGCACCGACCCGCACTCGCGCCAGATCGCCCTCGCCGTCGCCGAGATCGAGGTGCAGGGCGGCGGGGACGGCGCGGCGGAGCTGGGGCACGCGCCCCTCTTCGCGAGGATGGCTTCGCTCTCGGCGGAGGTGCTGCTCGACCCGCGCGCCGCCGGCTCGAGCATCCCGCTCCTCCGCACCTTCGACCGCGGCAGCCTGCGCCTCACGAGCCTGCGCGTGCCCTCTCCGGGGTTCGTCAACCGCAAGTACCTCGCGGAACTCGAGACGGACGCGCACGCCTTCACCTTCACGCCGGCGGTGGCCGGCACTCTCATGGCGTTTGTCGACGCTTGGTCGGGGCCGAGCCGTGGCTATCGGCGCAAGCCGCCGCTCCCCGCCCGACAGTGCGCCGCGGTGCAGCTCTTCAGCCTGCGCCTCGCCACGCGCCGGGTCGAGCTCCGCCTGCAGCACGACGCTGCAGAGCCGCCCGCCCACTTTGCGCCCCCTGCGCCCGCCGCGCCCGAAACGCCCGCCGACCCCGCCGCCGCCGACCCCGCCGCCGCCGACCCCGCCGCTGCCGGCAGCCGCAGCGAGTCCGAGTCGGGACTCGTCATCGCGCGGGTGCACTTCGGAGCGCCGCGGCTGCGCGTGCAGATCCTCGACGGGGCTCTGGCCCTCGGCGTCACCTCCGAGTCGCTCGAGGTTGTGGCGGAGGGCGAGGCGGCACGCGGGCTCGGGCCGCAGCCCCACCCGCTGCACACAGTGATGGAGGTGCAGCGGACGCTGCTGCCGGAGGAGGCGCCGCCGCTGGTGCCGCCGCCGCTCTTCGAGACCCCGGGGGGCAGATGGCACAACGCGTCGCGGCAGCGCAAGGGCGACACGCAGGCGGGGCCGGAGGCGCGCGCGGCGCCGCAGCTCGCGGTGCGGATCCGGCTCGAGTACCACACGGCGGTGCCCGCCGAAGCTGCGTCGGTCAAGTCCCTCTCCACCGAGCTCGGCGAGACGGCGCTGGTGTGGGACACGGCGTCGGCGCAGCTGCTGCTGCGCTTCCTCTTCCTCTCCTGCCGCGACGCGCTCCCGCCCCGCGAGCCGCGGCCGTACCGCTTGCGCGGCGGCGGCCAGCTGCCGCACGACGCGTGGGCCGTCCGGCTCGCGTGCGACAGCCTGACTTGGCGCTTCGTCGACACGCTCTCGCGCTCGCCGTCGCTGCTGGGGGTGTTGCGGCTCCGGCAGTTCGACGCACTCGCACGCCTCACCGGGGCGAGCACGTCCGCGCTGCATGTCACGGCCGACGTCGACGCCCTCGACGCGCCTCCATCGGCCGACTTCCCGCTCGGGCCGGTGGCGGAAGGCTCGCCGC